GATGAGTGGATGGATAGATGAATGGCTGGAGAGAGGACGGATGGATGGACAAATGGATCGATGGATGGTAGATGAAGAACTGGTTGGGTGGAGAAGTGGATAGTTAGATGGATGGATGGGTAGATGGATGAGTGTTGGAGAAATACATGAAGGGCTGGATGGATGTTGGAGGGATGCATGTTGAAGGAACAGATGAAGGAATGGGTGAATGGATAAGTGGATAGTTAGGGGAAGGGATGGTTGGATGGATGGATGAATGCTGGGGTGGATCACCGGGTGGAGGGTGTGTTGATGAATGTTGTAGAAATAGATGAAAGGATGGATGGATGGATGAGTGGACAGCTGGGTGGATGGATGAATAGATGAGTGGATGGACAGATGGATGGTTGGAGAGAGGATGGGTGGATGGACTGAAGGATGGATGGATGGTGGAGCAATAGACGGAGGAATGGTGGATAAGTGGATAGTTTGATGGATAGGTGGATGGATGTTCAAGAAATAGATGAAAGGATGGATGGATGAATGAATGGTTGCATGGATGGATGGATGAGCGGATGGATGTTGGAGGATGGATGCTGAAGAACTAGATGAAGGAATGGATGAATGAATACGTGGATAGTTAGATGAATGAATGACTGGATGGTTGGATGGATGGATGAATGCTGGGGTAGATGATTGGACGGAGGGTGGGTTGATGAATGTTGTAAAAATGGATGGATGGATGGATGGATGGATGGATGGATGGATGGATGGATGATTTGCTGACTCAGTGGATGGTTGGATGAAGGATGGATAGATGGATGAGTAGATGGGTGACTGGATGAATGATTGGATGGATGGATGAACAGCTGGATGGAGAACGGATGGATGAATGTTGGAGAAGTTGCTGTAGGGATGGGTGAGTGAGTGAGCAAATGAATGGATTTTCACAAACATCTACAGATTCACACACAAATACACAAATGTGCCTGGAAGCAGACACAGACACACATCTGGAGGCAGGCACACATTGTGTAAACACATATTCCCTTGTTCTCCTGGTGCCCCTCTGAGAAGAGAGAGCCAACGCTGAGATAAGAGACAGACCGAGCTGGCCAGGGGCTGTGTGGACAGGGAGGCAAGAAGGCAGACCCTCCAACCAGGGCTACAACCAACGCCATCGCCACTGTGGCACTGACTTTATTTCTGGAACTGGAGGAAAATGCCGATTCAGGGATGTGTATCATAGGCTGGGAGCAGGCCAGGAAGTGGGACAGGAATGGCCTGGAGAGATGGAGTGAGTGGTAGAGGGAGACAGGTGGGGGCAAGGACAGAGAGACCGGCAAGAAGAGAGAGAGATGTGGACACAGAGACACAGGGAGATGGGGACATTGACAGAGTGATGGAGACAGAGACAGGCACACAGAGAGGGAGAGAGGGATGGAGACACAGAGACTCACAGAAAGGTGTAGAGATGCAGAGAGCAAGAGACAGAGACACAGAAAGACAGAGACGTGTGAGGCAGAAATTCAAATTCAGACCTGGAGAGAGGAGGGGGGCCCAGAGAAAGGCTGAGAGAGGGGAAGAAAGGTTAAGATGCAGAGGGCAATGGAGGCACAGAGATGGAGACACAGCGGCCCAAACCCAGCCCAGACCCCAGAGGGAAGAAGAGAGACAGAGAGAAACAGAGATACAGAGAAGGAGAGACAGACACCCACAGAGAGAGTTCCAGAAGAGGCAGCCCAACCTAGATGCAGGGACAGAGAACTGGGAGAAGGAATGACTCTCAACTTGTTTCTGGCTAGGGTTGGGGGGAGCTGTCTTCTTGTGTCAGCACCAACAGGCGTTGAGGGCAGCACTGAGGAAGGCTCAGAGAGTGCTAGACATTTGCCCAAACCTGCACAGCCTGGGAGCGGCATTTGATGCTGGTCTGTTGGACCGCAGAGCCCATGCTCTTGTATGCATTCAATGTGGCCTCGTGAGGACAAGGAGGGACAGGGAAGATGTGGTCAGGGGCTGCTGAATGTGGGTCACAGAAATAGAGAGAACCAGCCAATCGTTTATTCATTCAATGCACATGTCCTGAGCTTCCCAGATGCCCGGCCCTGTGTAGGTGATGATGGGGAGACAGAGATGAGTCAGGGAACAAGTTCCTGAGCAAGACAGATGTGGGGACAGTGCTTAGAGGTCCAGAAAAGGAGCAATTAGAGAACGTGCAGTGGGAGGAGACAGAAAACATAACTGGTAGGAGACTGAGTCAGAGAAACCTTCCTGAAGGAGGGGGCATGTGTGGGTCTTATTAAAAGATGAGGTGAGTGCAGTAGTTCCTGCCTGTCCTATCAGTACTTTGGGAGGTGGAGGCGAGAGGATGGCCTGAGCCCATGGGTTCTTGACCAACCTGGGCAACTTGGTGAGACCTTACCTCTACAATAAATCAAAAAATTAGCTAGGTGTGGTGGTGCACACCTGTGGTTCCAGCCACTTTGAAGGCTGAGGCGGAAAGATCACCTGAGCCCAGCAAGTCAAGGCTGCGGTGGTCGTGAGCGTGCCATCGCACTCCAGTCTGGGAGACCAAGTGAGACTCCCACTCAAAGAAAAAAAAGATGAGGGAATTTGGGTCAGGGGGAAAAGGGGAGGTTGGCAGAGTTTCCCAGGCAGAAGGCACAGCGCTTGGAAAGGGTGGAGACAAGAATGGGGTGGGGTGGGTGGGAGGGGTAAATGAAAGAATGAATGAAAGGCGCTGGTGGATGCCTGGAGGGGTGAAGTGGCAGAGGACGAGGTCATATGGGTCTTTCAGCCCAGTTCAGGGGCCAGAAAGTTGTCCAAGGGCACTGGGGAGCCATGGGAGGGCTGTGAGCAGGCATGGGGCGGGTCAGCTCTGTGCAGAAGACCCCTCGGGAGCCTCGCCTGTGGGGAAGAGAATGATAGAGAGTGGAGCATAAGAGGACAAGGAGGCCGGGGCAAGAGTCCTAGCAGGAGAGGACAACTGAGTGGCTGCTGGACAGGAGAGGAAGGAGCAGAGAAAGCCGAGGGGCAGAAGGTGTAGACCCCGGGGACCCTGGACTGTGGGGCTAGGTGTGCTGTGGCCATGGAAGCCAAAGACATCCCTGTCCTACTGAGATCTAATCACCAGTGGAAATGGAGAGGGGCAGTTTTAGAGGACAGAAAGGTGTGGAGATGCAGGCAAGGGGTAAAAGCCACCAAAGAACCAAGTGAGATGCTTTAAGCCTGGATTGTTTTAATAGCCAAAGACAGGCCGGGGCTCGGTGACTCAGCCTATAATCCCACGCCTTTGGGAGGCTGAGGTGAGTGGAATGCCTGAGCCTGCGGGTTCGAGACCCGCCTGGGCAACTTGGTGAGACCTCATCTCTACAATAAATCAAAAATTACCCAGGCGTGGTAGCGCGCACCTGTAGTTCCAGCTACTTGGAAGGCTGAGGTGGAAGGATCGTCAGAGCCCAGCAGGTTACAGCTGCAGTGGCCGAGAACGTGCCACTGCACTCCAGTCTGGGTAACAGAGTGAGACTCCAACTCAAAAAAAAAAAAAGCCAAAGACAGAAGCACAAATCAAATCAACCTAAACACAAGGGGAAATGTATTGGATGGAGGAGAGCTTCAGGCACAGCTGGATCTGGGTGCCTCAATCAGCACCTCTGTCTGCATCTCTGGACTCTGACTCAGACCTGACTGTCTGCATCCCTGGACTCTGCGTCCCTTGTGTTGTCTTTGATCTCTGGCAGGTTATCCCCCAGCATGGTGATGTGGTGGCCCCCGGCAGCTCCAATCTGGGCTTCAACCTGTCTAACAACCTCAATGGAAAGTCCTCTTTTCAAAGCCCAATTGCCTCTGTAGCCTTGGTTGATTCTTGAGCTTGTCCCTGAACAAATCACTGAGGAAATCAAGAGTGTCTAGAGAGTGGGGAACTGATGCTTAGCAAGCAGGAATAAGAGAAGTCGAGGCAGAGACCATCTGGGATGCAGAGAGAAAGGGAGAGAAACAAAAACTGGGAGGACAGATGGAAGAACTAAGGACAGCACCAGCTTCCTCTCCCACAGCTCTTGCTCAGAGCTCTGCATACACAGAGAAAGGGATGCCGAAAGGTAACTTCATGGCTAGGAGCCATCACTCTCTAGGACTTTTAGGCCCAGGTGCCCACAGACTTAGGAGGCCAACTCCCAGCCCCTCCTCCCCCAGACCAGATCAGACCTCAGCCCCTCCTCCCTCAGACCCAGGTGACTGCCCCCAGCCCCTCCCCCACCCTCTGGAGGTCTCCTGGCAACCATGCCCCCAACCCGCCTTCCCCTCCCCCGTAGAGAATCAGTTTCTGTTGGAGTCTCACCCGTGTCTAGCCAGCTCCTGTGGGCCGGCAGGGATGAGCCGTGGGCAAGTGGGAACAGAAAGGGGATGACAGAGGGGCAGGGGCTCAGGAGGGGGGCAGAGGCAGCTATGAGAGGAGGGAGATGGAGCACGGAGACCGGGGAGCCGGTGGGGACCGAGGTGGGACGACAGAGGGAGGGTGACAGGGCTCGAGACGGGCAGGAAGCCATGAAGAGAGGGAGCGACGGGGGCCTGGGGCGACGCCAGGGAAACTGAGGGAGACTGGGAAGACGGAGGCTGGCAGGGGGCGGGAAGCGGGGGGGAAGAGGGCAGAGAAGTCGGGCAGGAGAGCGGAGGAGAGATGGGGAGAGCGGGCGGGAGGGCAGGGGCCACAGGGACGGGGAGAGAGCAGGGAAGAGAGGTGGAGGGAGGGGTGTGGGGAGACAGACCCTCGGGGAGAGGAGGAGGGGAAGGCAGGAAGTGGACAGTGGGAAAGAAGAGACCGCGGCAGCCGGGGAGGCCCTGAGGTCAGGGGAACCCGGATTCCCACGTGGTGTCAGCCTTCGGGCTCCTCTGGATTTTTTCCTGGGGGCTTCAGAGAGGAGCTCGAGGAGGGGGCAGCGGCAGGAAGGAGCTGGGGCAGGTGGCCCAGTCAGAGCCTCGCCTCCTGCCCTGCTGAGACGTCCCCCACCCGCCTTCCCAGGATGCAGCCAGACGGGGAGGCCCTGTGCCCCCACACCACGGGCAGCCCCAGCTTGCACAGGGAGGCAGGTACTGAGCCCCGCGGGGAGGAAGGGGAGGTGGGGGCAGGGCCTTCATCCAGGCATGCGTGGGAGGCAGTGCTGGCTCACCGTGGGGCCTTAGGTGAGTCACTCGCATTCCCAAGTGAGAGCCACCCCAGACCCCCGATTCACCAGTCCCTGGACAGCGGCCTCTGGGACCTCCAACTACATTTCCCATGAGCCTCTGCCGTCCCTCAGCCAATGGTCTGAGCCCAGAACTACACTTCCCATGAGCCTCTGGGGCCTAGCCTCTCCTGGGAGGCCATTCTTCCCCTGGATGCTCTCACTCTTCCTCGTGTCCCACGCTGAGCTCGCCACCTTCCCGCACAGCTGCTGTCCCGCCTCCTGGTTTTTGCTTTCACACGGCCCCAACGCCAGCCCAGGCACCGGACCAGACCTCGGGTGCCGTCCCTTCGCCCCTCGCAGTCCCCTCCCAGAGTCCCCCATGCTCCTGCGCTGACTCTCTGCCCGTCCCTTCCACTCAGGTGTCTCTTCCACGTGGACCCTCTCCTCTCACCTCTTCCCTGGTTGCCAGCTTCTCCCCTCCATCCTGTGTCCCCCACGGCTCCCAGGGGGGCTTCCTGACTTCCAGCACTGACCCTGACTGCCACTTGCTCGCAGCCCTGCCCGGTTTCCCGTCCCTCCCGGGATGGAGTCCCAGCCCCTCCACCTGGCATTTGAGGCCCTGCCTGGCCTGACCCCTGCTGCCAACTTCGAGCTCCTATGCCAGCACTTCCTCACTGCACTCTGTGCTTTAGGACCGTCCGTTCATTCATTCATTCATTCATTCACTCATTCAACATTTGTGGAGTCATATCATGGCGGGGATGCATGTGGCTGCAGGGAATAGAAAACTGAACTTGGTGTACAGGGTAAGAAGGTAATTATCTCACCCCAAAAGGAACCTGGAAGTGTGTATGTGTGGGGAGAGGAGAGGGCTGTTTGAGTCAGCAGCTCAATGATGTCATCGAGGACCCAGTTGCTTTCTCGCTCCTAGCTTTTGGGTCTGGGAGATGTCACCTTTGCACACCAACTTGCTTACCTCATGATCACAAGGTGGCTGCCATGGTTCCAGGCATCACCCCCAAAGGTCTTCATTCTCAGAGCCCCCAAGTGAACTCTCTTCACATCTCATTGGGCAGTACTCAGTGACCTGCTCAACTCCACTTCAACCCCTGGAAAAAGGAAGGGGACTGTCGATGAAAAGCTAAACTGTGGCCGGGTGCAGTGGCTCAAGCCTGTAATGCACTTTGGGAGGCCGAGGCGAGAGGATTGCCTGAGTCTAGGGGTGTGAGACCAGCCTGGGCAACTTGTTTCCACAACAAATCAAAAAATTAGTCAGGCATGGCGGTGCATGCCTGTGGTTCCAGCTACTTGGAAGGCTGAGACGGAAAGATCACCTAAGCCCTGCAGGTCGAGGCTGCAGTGGCCATGAGCATGCCACTGCACTCCAGCCTGGGCAACAGAGTGAGACTCTGACTCAAAAAAAAGAAAGAGACAGAAAGAAAGAAAAGCCAAACTGTGTACAATATTTAAAGAGCTTTATTCTGAGCCAAATTTGAGTGACCATGGCCTGAGGTACAGTCCCAAGAGGCCCTGAGAACAAGTGCCCAAGGTGGTTGGGTTACAGCTTGGTTTTATACCTTCCAGGGAGACAGAAGTTGTGAGTAAAACATAAATCAATACGTGCAGGGTTTACATTGGTTCAGCCTGGAAAGTCGGGACATCTCGAAGGGGGGAGCGTATAACTTATGAATGGGTTTTAGAGCTTCTTTAGTTGACAATTGGTTGAGAAAGTGAAGCTATAGTCTAAAGACCTGAAATCACAAGAAAGGAATGTCTGACCTCAGATAAGGCGGTTGTGGAGACCAAGTTTCTTATTAACTAGATAAAGCCTCATGGGTGGCAGCCCTTAGAGAGATGGCAAATGTCTTGCATTCAGACTTTGAAGGTATCAGACTCTCAGTTAATCCTTCTTGGACCCCGAAAGGCCCGCCAGGGGAAGGATCTGGCCGCGTTCACAGGGATTTTCCACAGGCGCAAATATTTCCCCACAAAAGACAGCTTTGAGCTGAATGCAGTGGCCAAACCTGTAATCCCAGCAATTTGGGAGGTGGAGGTGAAAGGGTTGCCTGAGCCCAGGGGTTCAAGACCAGCCTGGGCAATAAGGAGACCTCATCTCTACAATAAATCAAAAAATTACCCAGGTGTGGTGGCATGCACCTGTAGTTCTAGCTTCTTGGAAGGCTGAGGTGGAAGGATCACCTGAGCCCAGCAGGTCAAGGCTGCGGAGGCCGTGAGTGTGCCACTGCACTCCAGCCTGGGCAACACAGTGAGACAACAACTCAAAAAAAATAAAGGTTGGGGCAGGGACATAGGAGTAACAGGAGACAATGAAGTTAAGATTTCAGGCTCTAGGCTGGGCATGGTGGCTCACACCTGTAATTCCAGCACTTTGAGAGACTGAGGTGGGAGAATCACTTGAACCCAGGAACTCAAGACCAGTTTGGGCAACATAGCAAGACCCCATCTTTGGAAAAAAAAAAAAAAAAACATTCAAAAAGTTAGCTGGGCGCGGTGGCTCATGCCTGTAATCCCAGCACTTTGGGAGGGGGGGTGAGAGGATTGCTTGAGCCCAGGGGTTTGAGACCAGTCTGGCAACTTGGCAAGACCTCGTCTCTACAATAAATCAAAAAGTTAGCCGGGTATGGTGGCACATGCCTGTAGTTCCAGTTACTTGGAAAGCTCAGGTGGAAGGATCGCCCAGGCCCAGCAGGTCGAGGCTGCAGTGGCCATGAGCATGCCACTGTGCTCCAGCCTGGGTGACAGAGTGAGACTCCGACTCAAAAAAAAAAAAAACCAAACAAACAAACAAACAAAAAAGACGGCTTTGCAGGGCTATTTCAAAACACACCAAGGACATGTATTTGGGGTAAGATATTTGCATTTCCTTTCGGGCTTGCTACCATCATGTGATGCTACACTAAGTTCAGGTTGGAACTTAATCTCTTATTTCCCACAGAGTCTGTTTCATCATGTTGCCCAGGCTGGTCTCCCAACTGCTGGGGTCCAGCCATCCTCTCACCTCGGCCTCCCAAGGTACTGGGATTACAGGTGTGAGCCACCCGCCGGCCAGCATCTGTATTTTTGGAGTCATTGCCAGAAGGTTTTTCTGAACAGCAAGGGCTGGGAGGCGCTTCTTAAGACTGGATGGGTATCCCCGGGGGAACTGAGGATGCATGCGCCTCCCCTCAGTCACATGGTGAGGAGTGGACCCTCCTCAAATAGCATAAGAAAGCTGTGACCAGCAGGGGGGTCCCCTCTCTGGGTGTATGATGGAAGTACCTACTCTGTGATGAGAGTCATGGAAAGCGTAGCAAATGCACCGGTGGCAAAACAGACATCATTTCTCTGCCCTCTGGGTCTTCTTCATGCCTTAGAAGGCAACTTTCTTGGGGACCCTACCCCACACCATCTGAAATCTAGACTGAGGCACCCACTGATAAATATGTTCATGTATAGCTCCAGACCAGGTGTGATGGCTCAAGCCTATCATCCCAGCAATTTGGGAGGCCGAGGAGCCCAGGAGTTCATAACCAGCCTGGGCAACATAGCAAGACCTCATCTCTACAAAAAAAATAAAAAATAAAAAAACTAGCCAGGTGTGATGGTGTGCACCTGTAGTCCCAGCTACTTGGGAGGCTGAGGTGGGAGGATTGCCTGAACCCAGGAGGTCAAGGCTGCAGTGAGCTGTGATGGTGCCACTGCACTCCAGCCAGGTGACAGAGTAAGACCCCCGACTGGAAAACACAAACAAAAACAAACTTGTATATTGCTCCAGAAAAGTTGAGTGGAATGGAGTTGACCATTTTGCCGGTCCTGCAGACCAACCTTTGTTCATTTCAACTCTGCTGTTCTTCTTGTGGTGTTTTGTACTGAACGACATTTTTAGTTGGTCGGACTGCAAAGTTCAGCACAGGCCATTAGAAAGCCCATGGGTCCCCAGCATCTTGCTGGTGGTGCCTAATGGATGAGATGGCCCAGCCTGCCCTCACGCAGGAAGGGCAGACATGGAACATGCCGCTTCGCAAATAATTAATAACCTACGATTGCAATACACACTCATTAGTCTTGGGGTCAAAGAGAATGTCGCCTCTTTATTTAGCAAACCCCTTCTTATGCTTAGGTTTCACTGTAGACAACACCTCCTCTAGGGAGCTTTCCCTGATTGCCTCTAGGTTAGGCTTTACCTCTTCCTGGAAACACCTCCGCCGAAACACATATGGCTCTTTACAATGATGAACTTCCTTCTCACTGTGGTTTCTGGAACACCAGGGGCTCTAGGCCCCAGTTTCCTCCAAGACACTCAGGGGGCTTCTGAGATGTCCACTAAAAAGTTTGGGATTAGTCAGGGGTGGTGGCTCATGCCTGTCATCCCAGCACTTTGGGAGGCTGAGGTGAGAGGATTGCCTCAGCCTAGGGACTTGAGACCAACCTGGACAACTTGACGAGACCTCGCCTCTACAATAAAACAAAAATTTAGGCAGGTGGCACACACCTGTAGTTCCAGCTACTTGGAAGGCTGAGGTGGAAGGATTGCCTGAGCCCAGCAGATTGAGGATGCAGTGGCCATGAGCGTGCCACTGCACTCTAGCCTGAGCCACAAAGTGAAACTCTGATTCAAAAAAAAAAGTTTGAAATTGTTGTATTTACTCAATTATTCAATAAGTACTTATTCTAACATTTATACTTTAAAAAGCTTTTTTTGGCTGGGTGCAGTGGCTTATACCTATAATCCCAGCACTTTGGGAGGCTGAGGTGGGAGGATCGCTTGAGATCAGGAGTTTGAGACCAGCCTGGGCAACATAGCGAGACCTCGTCTCTACAAAAAATCAAAAAATTAGCTGGGTGTGGTGGCATGCATTTGTAGTTCTAGCTACTCAGGAGGTTGAGGTGGAAGTATCGCCTGAGTCCAGGAGGTTGAGGCTGCAGTGAGCTATCACTGCACCACTGCACTCAAGCCTTGGTGACAGAGCAAGACCCTATCTCTAAAATTAAACAAACAAGACACAGAAAAAGCAGTGTTCCTGGAATGCAGCAGGTGGAGAGGATGATGATGCCTGGACAGACTTAAGACATTAGCAGGAGCTGGGCTCGGTGGCTCAGCCTGTAATCCTGCGCTTTGGGAGGCTGAGGTGAGTGTATTGCCTGAGCCCGCGGGTTCAAGACCCGCCTGGGCAACTTGGCGAGACCTTGTCTCTACAATAAATAAAACTGAGCTGGGCGTGGTAGCGCGAGCTGTGGTTCCAGCTACTTGGAAGGCTGAGCGGAGGGATTGCTGGAGCCCAGCAGGTCGAGGCTGCGGTGGCCGGGAGTGGCCACTGCACTCCAGTCTGGGTGACTGAGTGAGACTCCAACTCAAAA